TATAGCCTCCACTAAAGATGCCTACTTCATAGCACACAGCAGCCTCAATCAGCAGTCCTCAGCATACCATTGCAAGGGGGGAGCAGACAGAACTGCATTGATTCCCCAGGAGGTCTGTCCAGCTTGTTTCAGATGCCTGAGCTATGAGGTGCACAAGGAGGCAAGTCAGGATGTTGACTATGAGAAGAGATGCCACTGCAATTCTGTAGCAATGTACACTAGCCTTGCAGCTTACAGTGCCCTGGTGGGAGAAGTGTTAGCACACTCCAAGTGAACCCTCAGTGAAGTCTGCTTTGTTGATTTTAGAGCAGAAGTTTGGGGTCCCACTTCTTTGTACAGGTGGGGGGTATGGTGGTTAGGGAAGCAGGCTCCTTGCTTGCGGTCATTATCCCAGTTCAGGGCAGCCGGTGGCCCACATGACTAAAGGGAGGGATGGGGATGATGGGAAAATTCATTTTCCTACTATAGGCAATTCACTGTTGATTCCTAGATTCTTGCCTCTTTGCAGTTCCCCACTGCTTTCCTCTGCTACCTGTTCAGATTTGCTCAAAGCCAAGTACAATTTCTTTGTATTTCTTGCTGCATTAGTGGAGGTGGGTTGGACCATGGTCTGTTTATACTACTGTCTTCTCCAAATCCTTTATGCATTTTATTTTGAAGTAATTTTAAGCTTAGAGAAAAGTTACAAGAGTATTACCAAGAAGTCATTAACACTCTAACAGATTTGCTTTGTCATTTTTCCTATGTATGTGTATATACTTTTTTTTCCCTGAACTACTTGAGAATAAGATGCCATTTAGACCCAAATACTTGAATATATAGAGAAAAATACTCTGCTACGTCACTATAGTACGATCATCAAAAACAAGACATTAAAATGGTACACTATTAACATCTAATCCATAAACCTTATGCAAATTTCATCAGTTTTCCCAATGGTGCTCCTTATAATCCTTCTCCGTTGATAATATCAGACGACATATGATGTTAATTTGTCCCATTAGTGGTAAAGTTCACTTTGATGAATTGGTTAAAGTGGTGTCTACAGGGATTTTCTGTTGTAAAGTTACTGTTTTTCCCTTTATAGCTACTATCTCCCTTTATGGGGAGACACTTTGAAACTGTGTAATATCCTGTTTTTAATTAAATTTTCCCCCACTAGTTTTAGCATTCACTGATGACATTTAATTTTTTTTTCATTTTAAAATAATTTTGGACATGAGTCGGCATTGACTTAATGGCATCTAACAACAACAACATCTCTGATAGTAAGGCATCTGGATCCCATTATCCTTAATATCTTTACTTCTTTGTTCATTTCCCCAGAACCACCAGCCACCTTTTTAACTCTGGCCTCCAGGCCCCACTGGCCTCCTTAGCTTTGGCCACATGGGCCTTGTAGTCCTGGCTGCCTTCTCAGTTCTGACTCCTCCTCTGTTCTGAACCCCTGCTCATTCTCTACCGCCTCCCCTTCCCTAGCTAGCTTTTCAACCTCAGCCCCATAAGCCCCAACCTGCTTTTTTAACTTCATCTTCAGCAAACCCCTTACTCTAGTTACTTGGCCTATTTATTGTTCTTAAAGGGAAGAGAGGCAGAAGAAAAGGAGTCAGGCTTTGCAATCGCTATATTAATGCAGTTCACTGTAAGCATTTTCAGTAATTTTTTTTTTTTTTTGGCTAAAACAAAAGTGAATTATTCAGAACAGGGATTTGCCTGCAAACTTTTCTATAAAATCTATTTATTTATTTATCTTATTACACATTACAACCTTCCAATATAGTAGTTTGGGATATGATATGATTTGTACTTTCTTTTTGAAGTTAATGAAAAATCTTAGAGCTGATAAGGTCATTCACTTTTATTATGCTTATCAAAAGAGAGTTGTTGTTGCTAATAAGGTCATTCACTTTTATTATGCTTATCAAAAGAGTTGTTGTTGTTGTTGTTTGCACCATTGTTGTTGTTGTATGTGCCATCCAATTGGCCCAGACTCATAGTGACCCTGCCTTGGGTTTCTGAGGTCATATCACTATGGAAGTAGATTGCCCAGCCTTCCTTCCGAGGAGTGGCTGATGGCTTTGAACCACCAGCCTTCTGGTTAGCAGTCAAATGCCTTAGGCACTATGCTACCAGAGCTCCGAGTAGTTGTAAATTCTGACTCATGCGACCCCATGTGTGCAGAGTAGAACTACTCCATAGGGTTTTCATGGCTGTGACCTTTCAGAAGCAAATTGCCAAACATATCTTTCAGGGCACCTCTAGGTGGGTTTGAACCATCAGCCGTTTAATTAGTAGTATAGCACTTAACCATTTGCACCATCAGAGACTGCTCAAGAGAGAAACCAACCAAAACCAACTGCTGTAAAGTTGATTCTGACTCATAGCAACCCCCATTGGGTTTCCAAGGCTGTAAATCTTTATGGAAATAGATTGCCTCATCAACTTCCCATGGAGCAGCTGATGGGTTTGAACTGCCAACTTTTCTGGTTAGCAGCCACATGCCTTACCCATTGCACTACCAGAGCACCTTCAAAAGAGAGATAGATGGTCCCTGGAAATAATTGGAACTTGTAACAGTCTACTTTAAATTTCACTTATCATTGGCAGGATGTCCCCAGGTGGTGCAGACTATTAAGCACTTGTCTGCTAACTGAAAGATTGGAGGTGCCTTCAAAGAAAGGCTTGGAGATCTAGTTCCAAAAAATCAACCACTGAAAACCTTGTGGAGCATAGTTCTGTCCTGACACACATGAGGTCACCATGAGTTAGAATCAACTCAGTGGCAACTGGCTTGGTTTTGGTAGCTCACAGTACTATACAAGTTCTTAAATTACATATTAATCAGATTAAATTATCTATTTGTTCAATAAATCTAAAGAATAAGTTTTAGTTTCCTCCTCATCCCTACTCAGCTTGTCCATGCTTTGAGCCCAGACACCTTTCCTACAAGACTTGGGCTGACGTGCTCTCAAAGTGTATTTTGGCTCTGCAATTCCAAGTCTCCCCAGTCACTGAGCCCAACTCAGCCTCATTTATCTGCTAGTAAGAGTGTAGGACAGTGCTGGGCACAGGGCCTGGCACACAGTCAGCTGGGGGGCATTGATCCTCCTTTTCTGTCCTCTCAGTGTCACCAGGAACAGTCAGTGAAATGACACCTTCAAGGGCACCCCACCCACACCCAGTACTTTTCTTTCCTCCTCTGACATGTTAATAATGAGCAGAGAAATAGATTTTCTGTTATTCTGTTACTCTTGACATTGTATAAAACAGTAATAATCTGAAAGGGGAGAGAAGATGAATTTTTTTTTTTTAATTAGGACTTTTGATTTAACTTGAATTAGGTGGGTAGAAAGATACTTTTTAGTTTCTTTTTAACATTGAAATGTTTCAGCTATGGAATCCTAGATGAAAATTTAAAGCTTTTTGTGTAAGACAGGATGTTCAAAAACAAGAAAATTTTCAAATATGATTATGGTTGTTTTAACATGAATTTACTGTTGAAATTTACTTGAGGATTTGCTTTCATGTTCCAAGTATTGACATTTCACAAAGTTTGAGAAATGCTAGTCTTCTGATTCCTCAAATTCTGGTTCTAGGGATGTTTTAACTTTGTAAGTGCATAAAGACAGAACATGTTTCTAAAGGTATCTGAACATGCAGAAATAAGACAAATACTTCATTGGTCCTTTTGGAATTATTTAATACATCCAACATGGTTGGGTTCCAAAGACCAGATCATTATGCAAAAGTTGGTAAAAATGGAGGATTTTTCTTTTCTCTTTTCAGATCATACGTTTGGCCATTTTTTTTTTTTTTATTTAGGAAATATGTCCTATTTTTTTATTTAGGAAATAATGTGCACATCACTGTCAAGAGTCCAGTTATGGATTATATTCCTCTGTGGAGGAGGAGGCTTGGCGTGTAGGCTGTGTGACTACAGAGCCCATGACTTAATGACTTCACCTTTCTCCTGTGCTGGGTCCAAGCTTCCCTCACAGAGCTGCCTCCAGGGCTCTACTCCCACCCCTGCAAGCCTTGTGTTCAGGATCCCAGAGCCTGCTCTGCCCTTGGGCCTGGCAAGTCACCAAGGCTTAGGAATTCCTGCCAGGGCATTGGGATCCTGGCCACACACCCAGCCCCACTGATGCAGAGGCTTCAGGCCCTGTTCAGTTCACTTTGGGCTGTCATTAAACTCACATGATTTCTTCCAAAAACCCTCTCCAATGCCTCTTTCTTTGCTTCCTTCCCACCCCATAGCAATTTTAAGTTGTAGGGCCTTAGACACACATAAAAGCTGGGGACCCAGAACAGATACCACTGGCTCAATGCTTCCTGTATGTCAGTTTGTGGGAAGCCTGTGGCCACAGAGGAGGCCGGCCCCACAGTACAGTTGGATGCAGCACTCAACCAGCAGGAGGGCAGAGTGGTCCAACTCCCTAGAGACTGCTGGGAGACCCTCCTCAAGGGAGAGGATGCTCCCCAGCCATTGTCACCAGGCTTGCCGCCTCATTAATGTGCAGAATAGTTGGATAGTAGATATTTTTACTATTGTTGTAAGTATGAAATGTTGGCTAGCAAGGTAGTCGATAAGTGAGAAGTAGTTGTATTTGCAAATTACTATATTGACAGCTGCCTCCAATTATTAATTGTGCTATTTATCACATTATTTTCAAAGAAATTCTTGTCTAGCCCTGAGAATATTTTTGGCTGCAGAGAATTAGTGCCCTGTTGATGATTTACATTGTCACCGTAACGGCCCTAATGTTACAGGTTAGAAAACCCCTGAGTTCTCAGTCATTCATTGAATCATGATTCAAATGATTTTTAGTTACTCCTCCTTATCTTTCACTTGGTCTTCCCTATGGTGATAGACAGTGTGCTTTATGATTTATTAACACAGCCTCTTCAAAATATTGGGGGCAAAGTTTTGTTTTTATGAAAGAAATACGTATTCCTCTCTTCTGCTGCCTCTCTTTTGAGATTTATTCTTAATCTTTCAGGAATCAGAAGATAAAGTATTTCTTGCCATTGCTAAAGCCATGGAAGAGATGGTGGAAGATAGTGTCGACTGTTACTGGATTATCCGATGCTTTGTGAACCAGTTGAAGAAGTACCGGGATTCTCTACCCCAGCTGGTGAGGGGTTTTTTGGCTACTGACAGGTGGTGATGAGCATTGCTTGGTTCTTCAGGGAATACTCCTACCTCCCAGTGCTGCTACAGTTATATGTGAGTCCTCTATAGTAGAGGTCAGCAGATGTTTTCTATAAAGGGCCACACAGGAAATATTTTCAACTTTGTAGGCCTAGATAGTCTCTGTTGCAAGTACTCAGTTCTGCTTTTGTAGCACAAAGGCAGCATAGATAATACATGAAATGGATGTGGCTCCTCCATATTGATGGTATCCTACCTCCTCCTCTGTTTATTTTAGTATGCATATTATAGAACATAATGTATTTTAAAATTGTTAGGAAATTTTTTGAAAAGTTCTTCAGAATGTGTAAGAAAAGCTCACTTTCCTTTGTATTGATACAGATACCAAATCATTTAAGCAGTTCTTGTTTTTTTAGAATGGTGTTAGTCTGTCCTCAAAATTTTTATTATTTCATAGTGGATCCTACCTTACCTTCTTGTTAGAGTTTTGTCTTTTCATATTTTTATAGTTTTACCAAGTTCATTAGAAGTATTTTATGGTTCTAGAGAAATGTACCTGTCATGGGGAATGATGGGTATATGGCATCAAAGGAGGTAAGAATACCCCTGAGTGATGATAGGTTTATTATCTGCCATATTCTGATTGATGCGATTACATCAGCAGCTTCTCTGCTGCTTACAAGCTTTTAGAAACTCTACTCTTTGACAGAGCCTCTCACTCCCAAGAATGATGCCAACTTGAGTTGTGTGACATGGAAGCCATTTCTTACTAACCTCTTCAGAGCAGATTGTCCTTAAACCAACTCAACCATAATTGTATTTAGTCATTAAAATAAGTGAGCTTTCTTTTATTGCTATAATTTTAAAAAAGTTATATGAGAGTTTTTTTTTTTTTTTTTTTTTAAATACTATTAGTGGCCTCTTCTGAAGTTTAATATCCCCACAGTGCAACTAAGTGTCTTGTTAGGTTTTACCTTCTGCTGATGATGAGGACTTCATTTTCTTTATAAAGAAAGAATGTGGGGTCACGGAAATATTGCAAAGAACCTAAATGTTTAGCAGTAGGGTGTAATTATGATTATAATAATAATTTCTGTAGTTTGCTGAGTACTTAGAATGCCAGGCAATATAAATATTATCTCCTTCGATTTTTTTTAAAAAGCATATATACATATATATTTGTATCTGCCCTCTTTCTTAGATTAAGCAATTGCCTACGACACACATTATTCTCTACCTGGTGTTTTCATCTGATAGTCTGGAGCTCATGCCACAGTAGTATATAGAAACTTTGTTCCTTTTCATGTCTGCATAGTACTCCAGTTATGTGAATAGCCCGTTTTTTCAGCCCTACTGTTGGCAATTTGGGATGTTTCTAGACTTTTCTGTTATACACAGTGTGCAGATTAATAGTCTTTTCATATATTTGCAGTATATTTTTGGGATAGATTCCCTAGAAATAGATTGGCTAGATGAAAGGGTAAATGCATATGCTATTTTGCTAGCTATTACCAAGTTCCCCTTCAGAGAGGCCATACTACTTTGCATCGTCACCACCAACATGTGAGAAGGCCTGTTTCCCTACAGCATTGCCAACATAGTATATTGTTAGTCTTTTGGATTTTTGTCAGTCTGATTGGTGAGAAATGATGCCTTAGTGTAATTTCATGTTGCAACATAGAGCATTTCTTCAGATGGTTTAAGAGCCATTTCTGTTTTTTTCTGTAGAGTTCTTGGCCTTTTTTCTTCTCTATTTTATTTTATTTTTTTTTTTTTATTAGGATTTGGGTGAAGATTTACAGAGTAAATTCACTTTTCACACAGCAGTTCACATATACTCAAGTCATTGACCAAAATTTACAATGCAGCAGCTCCCCTCCCACTTCCTCCCCATAGTTACCTCCTCCCAGTGTCCATCCCTTCATACTCT